CGGCGGCATGCAGGCAAGTAAACCGAACGGGATAGGACAGGGCCAGGGCATGAAGCAGCGGCGGCGGCGGAGGCCGCGGAGCAGGGCAGAGCAGGGCAAGCAAGCAGAGCAAACAGGATGGACAGCTCAGATGGGATGGATCTGCCACCGTTCGTGTCAGTCAGTTGCACCTGCACCCTATGTGGATTCCATGGAAAACTTGGCATGCACTCCTATATGTGCCACAGCAGCGTCAAAAGGAGATCCCCCTCCCCACATCAGCTTCTTCACGACTCTATGGACTCACGATCCTCCACGATACTCCATATTTCCCATCCCACCGCCTCTTCCCCAACCTTCAAGACCCGCGCTCCCCTCGCGTACTACTGTAACAAGGCATGCGACACCTGCACAGCTGCCAGAAGAAGAGAGAGAGAGCACACGTAGCATCGCATAACAGAGGTGCATACAGTCTCTCGTCCGGAACCCACCCCGCGGCGTCCGTCGGACGCCGAGACGCCGAGAGAGCGACGATGCACAGGATCGGTGCGTCGTGCGACCAGTGCCGGCGGGCGATGGGTGCGTATTCCTCCCGTTGAGGGTGCAGGATCTCATCTCTGGGGTGTTGTGATACCCTGCCCTACCTACATGGGATGAGTGGGTGAGTTGAGTGCTACTCTACACTACTACACACACACACAGACCATGCTACAGTGCGTGCCACACAGTGCGTGAGTCCCTCACCACCTCCCGCTCCTCCCCGTGAAACACCCTCCCCAACAAAAGCTATGACGTAAATCACGTGTCCACACCCATCTCCCCCCTAACCACTCCCTAACCACCTCCCCACTTCCTTCTCCCGACCGAAAATACCCACACCAAGGAAGTCTCGGAAGAAGTGTTCTGTGAGTGGAGTACATCGTTGCCCACCAAACTCCACTGGACTGGACATATCCACCTGCCTGTCTGAATGCTCTGTCGGGAGGGAAGGTCACATTTTTTTGGTTCTTGGGTGTGTCTCGGCACGCATCCACTGGCGGAGATTTGGTCTTGGTTGGGGGCGGTGGTTTTTGTCTGTCTATCTATCTATCTGTCTGCCTCTCTGTCATTTCTCTGAGGCTGGGCACCCCCCACTCCCTCTCCCAGAGAAAGGAGACTCCCACTCCCAAGGAAAAAGGGGAGTGGGGGCCACCAGCCAGAGGGAGAGAGAGAGAAGGAGAAAGACAGGAGAGAGAGAAAATCTCTGTGACGTCCACAGTGGGGCGTGCCTTGTTGACTGGTGGGGTCTTGGGCATTGTCGGGTCTGTCAACGAGGAGTACTTACCGCACTTTACTTTTGCCCATCTAACCATCCCCCAGTACGGTGCCGTGTATTGGCAAAGTCTCTGTCCGTCGGGTGAGGGTTTTCAATGATGGATGAGCGGATCCCGCAGGATGTAAAGAGTGGTTTGAGCAATTTTTGAGTGATGGGGATCTGCGGGAGGGATGAGCGGTATGTACTCCTGTACTGACTTGACTGGACAGCGCACCAGTTATCTCTCTCTCTGCCGCCTCCTATTACCGCCCAGCCTGCCAGCCGTCACTGCGCGATTACTGTACCAAGCCCATGTGCCGAGCAGCACCGGCAGTTGCGAGGAGCGTGGCGACTCTCCACTGTGCCGTGGTTGAGCACTCCCCGTCCGTCCCCGTGGCCTGGTTGGCACACACGGTGGATGCGGCACAGTGGTGTCAGGTTTGATTGATGCGGATGCCCTCTGTGGAACTTGGTAGCAGGTGGGTGAGGTATGTTAGTTTTGAGATGATGGTTGATCCGAGAAACCCGTCCGGAGCAGGTCTGGGAAAAGTGGGCGACCGTTGCGCGTCGTCGGTTTCGTGGTGTCTGATCTGTCCACATTTTTCGTCCTCCCATACACTCTCTCGGTTCGGCTGCCCTTTACTGAAACTGCCGCCCTTCACATGAAGGGTTTTGGATGAGCTCGGGTCGCTTGCTGAAACGTCGGAGGGAAGGAGGGAAAAACGGGAATGATGCTTGATGGGTGGCGATCAGATGTTACGGGTATCGAATCAGAGGGGAGGGAGAGGGCAACTTGTCAGCTTGGAAGAGTAAGTCTGTCCCCTCTCCCCCAGTTTAATAGTACGGTGTGTAGTCTGTAGTATGTAGTTGAAGGGATATACAGACGGCAGGGACGATTGATGAGCGGCAGAGCCAAAAAAAAAAGAAAGAAAATGTACCTGTACTTACGACGTCATTATCCCCCACTATCTCCTCCCGCGGCACACAACTTTCGCCCCCAAAAAATATCCCAACGGCGATGACAACGATGACAGGCAAATTTAGAAGAAATGGATGGATTACAAGTATGAAACTAAACGCGATCTCATCACTCCAACCCGCTGTGTTGCCAGAGTGGTTAATGGGTAAGACTTGAATTTGTTATAATTTGGTTATCTTATGGTTTCGGCCTCGTAGGTTCAAATCCTGCACACAGCGATACTTTTTTTTTTCCCCTTTTGGTTTCGGGGTCACGGAGGGGCTCGCTTATCTATATAAGCGACCATCATCTTGACTCTGGTGTCTCAGCCTCGTTGCGTATGACGGGAGGGGTTTGGGGTTTATATTAAGGGTTTTTTTTGGGTAAGTCTCTGTTTTTTTCCAATTGCTGGTTTGGGGGGCTGGCTCGCTTGTTGGGTGCGTATGGGGTTGGAGGGAAAGAAAATGGGCTAGAAATACTGGCGCTGATCGAAAGGAGAAGAGTGACTGGAAATAATAATAGTGATTATAGGAATTGAAATCTAGTTAAAGGTGTTCGATTACTCAGGGCTACTATTAGTAGGTTAGTTACTAACAAATGGAACTAGGGAGATAGGCTCTATGGGACCAAGAGTCGAAGAGTGGCTGTGGATGACAATAGCGATTATAGTAATTAAAACTCAAATAAAGACGTTTAGTTACTCAGGGCTACTATTAGTAGGTTAGTTACTCAATAATCGAATTGAAGAGATGGGCTCTATGCCTTTAAACTGCTATTATAGATCCTAATATATCAATCAGCCCCTCTTTAGACTTTTAGGCAAAACGAGTTACTACCAGAACTGTTCTGAGAACCATGCCGCTTGGTGTTTCAACCGCGTAGGTGCGAGTTGAGCGATTGAGATATAGGGAACTAGAGATGAGAGTTGGACCAGGGATTCATAAAATATGAGAGACTGAGTACTTGCTCGGAGATTTATAGAAGCTGTATACCAAAAGATACTACACAGAGCTTGCTTGGTTTTATTATTAACTCTAATTATCATCGCAGCCGTTGAGCGCAACCGTTGCTGAACTAATTAACCTTGACGAAAGAAGGCAAACATGGGAATATGCACCTCGGATTCTGATGCAGCAAGAGAGAGAGGTGAGAGCTTATAGGTGAGTTTCTTGTAGTTGTAGTTGGACTTCGTCCGCCGCCCTTACTGCAGAAACACTGATATCCGATTTCACAATCGTTGAGGGTGTTGTTGTCCGGGATTCTCGTAATGAGGACCAACAGGGAGTGAGTGGCATGTGAGGTAAAATTAGCTATATTTATTTCCTGAGTCAACATTAATCAGTTCACAGACGAGGGCACCCAAGAAAGTCTTCAAAACAGTTTCTGCTCATGTAGTGATGGCACGTCTCGGGCATACGGACATCCCGGATAGGAGACAGGTCATGATGGGTATGGGGGTAGAGATTTCGATATGTATGCTCATATGAGTGATAAGTTCTTCGTACATTGCACCTCATGCGCCTCGTTATACGGAAAATCCTCAGACTCTCGTGACAAAAGTATATGTAACAGCAAATGCACGAATTGCAGGAATCAAGATGCAAAGGGATGGGGAAACAAGCGGTCATTAGTGCTCTTTTTTAAGGCGACTGACGACGTGGAGGGATACCAATTGTGGTCAGGATATCTACTAAGAGGGAGGGAGATTGTCCGCGTTGAGCAAGAGGAGAGATGAGATTACAGTGTTTGGTCAAGACATTCTGGGGAGGGCGAATACTCTCGACTGTAGAAGGGAAGGTCCAGGATGGCATGTTTTATGGCTGCCGCGAAAGAAGCCGGTATAAGATGGATACTTGTGAGATCCACTGAGCTTCAAGCTGTTGGCCGGTGCCATCGCCAGTTACAGACTGAGGCAGTGATCTATCTGAGACTTCAATCGAAAGACGGCAGTATTGATCAGGAGATCGAAAAGGTACAGAAGAAGAAGACATCCTTTAATAAGGCGGAGTGGCTCTTGTGAGGAGATGGTCGTAGAAGAGGTCGCTGAGCAGTGGCCGGAGGTAGAGGATGTTACCATCTAGTCAATTCAGATGCTGAAGAAAGGGATCGAGGATGGGGTTGGAACATTTCTCGAATACCGATTCGTGCGCGGATTCCTCGCTGAAGAGTAAGAGAGAGATGGAATACAGCAAGAACACGACGACAGCAAGAACACGACGATAGACAGCAAGAACACGACGACAGACAGCAAGAACACGACGACAGCAAGAACAGACGACAGCAAGAGAAACTGCAGCAACGGCATGAGGCAAAAGTTTGTCCCATTGGTATATAAGTCCCGGCTTGTATCTCCAAGTGATATAACTTTATTCGGGGCCTCGAATCCAGTTCCCTTTTGCTTGCGGTGGTCTGGTGCTTTAACGTCATACTCCCCTAAATGGTCCTGGATTGCGTCGTGTATCTTGCGAAAAACGGACAGAACCAGTGTACCTGACTGGCCGCACAGTCTTACAGACACTGGATGTGATGCTGGCGCTGTGACTGCTTGAATCCCTTCGTTCCTGGAATATGATGTCTCATCTGAAAGGAAATGGACACCGTGTCTGTGTAAAAAGGTGAAAGTAACTTAACTTACTGACCATTCTGCCTCTATCCCTCCATTCCTTTCGCAAAAAAAAAATACTATCCTCCATTGCCCATTCCGGCAAAAATGGAAAAAAAAAATTGAGGTCCACGTTGGAGAGAGTTCATCTCTCCGAAGAGTTTAAGTCCCTTCGCCCGGAATCGAACCGGGGGCCCCCGGATGAGGTGTGTGTTTTGCAGTTACAGTCCGATGCTCTAATCCAACTGAGCTACAAAGGGTTCGAGTTGTCGGGAGGGTCGCGGGTGGATTTATATTACAGATGAGGATGGGGGGGGTGGGTGTGCGTTAATTAGGGTTTGGTACAGGGGTGGGTGGGGATGGATCAAGGTGGGCACCACGGCGGACAAGGGTATCATGGGAAGCACACATTTAGATGAAAATAATGGAGCCGGAGGTAAATAAGTAAGGCAGACATCGTATTTTTTTTCATTGCCTCTATTCATTATGGGCAGTTGCATCTGTATGGTGGTAAGAGATGCACTTTTCGCAGACTCCACGTATGCAAACTCCCACGCCCTCTTTCCGCCTGTCTAGAAGAGCTTCGTCCCTCATATAACCGTACTCTCTTTGATTTCGTGATCCCATATCTACTCCCGTCCTACGCGCCCATCCCGCCTTCCAAGACGGCCCTCCCTCTGGACTACCCAACATAGACGGAGGGCCTCTCGGGACGATGCGCTACTACTTCTCGAGCTCACTCCTTGCAAACCCACCCACGCTCAATTCACACCCTCTCCCTCATGAACGTGAATCTCCGCGGCCTCGCCCTCGCTCCCCGGAACCTCTGGCACAACCTCCTCGTAACCCCCCCTCGCCCGCATATCTCCATGCAGGGTGAGCAAGTCGACCTGGTCCTCATCAAGATCCGGCACAGGGCTCTGGTCAACATACTCCTCATCAACGTCCGCGGCATCAAAATCCGCTAGGCGGCCCGCCATCGACCCTTCCGACGCAGAGCTGTCGTGCTGCACATCGTCGCTGCGCGCTCCTACCGACCCAAGCTCGACTGACGTCGCGCTCGCCGGATAATTGTGCTGGTAGGGCTGGGCGAGGGCAGAAAAGTTCCAGTTCGGCTCCATGCCGCCCACGCGTGGGCCGGGGAAGTCCCCATCGTATGCTGATCCAAGGTCGATAGCCTCGTCGCCTGACGCATCGTGCATCTCGATACCGTCGTTCATGACAGCATCCCTCTGGAGGAGCGGGGCGCCGTCATCCTCGAGCGCCTCCTTGTAATCAGGCGGACTATCAATGTCTGACGGCGGCACGGTTCCATTATTAATCGCGCTTCTCGTCGCTGCTGCTGTGCCCGCTTTGGTTCCAGTGACCGAACCATGCCCTGCCAGGCGAACTGCTTCTACTCCGGTCAAAGCGCTCGACGACCCACGAAGGGAGGAGTCCGCGCCGAGACGCTGGCCTTCCCCCGAGCCGGTGGACTCATCCTCGGAGGTGGCTTGGGGGTTGTCGAAACGCGCTATGATCTCCTGGAAGCGCGCGCCGCCGAGGGGCTGGTCTGAGCGACGGCGGTAGAAAAGGAGGTATGCTGCGCTTGAGATCACGTGCGAAGGGTCTTTGAGCTTGCTGACGGCGGAGTCTGGCGTGTGTTAGTAGGAGCAGGAGTTGGGTGGTTGGGATTCATACCATTATAATCGTACCACGCGCCGTCGACGAAAGACTTGGCATACGCCGTGTAATGTCCACCACCAAGACTACCGTAATGGTTGTCAACAGCGAATAGATCGTAAATTTCTTCCTTGCCATCTTCGCTCTCAAGAACTCTTGTGCTCATGTCAAGGCCATCGATGGGGAAAGTGACCTGGATATCCAGCTTGTCTCGACGCGTAGCAGTGGAGCTGAAACGCTTCAAGTGGAACACCATGATATCCGGCGTCCTCCACAACTCGAGCTTCTTGCTGGCTCGCCTGTGCTCCTTACACCTCGGGCAGTACCACGTATCCATCTCAGACAAGATCTCCTCTTTCCCAAACTCATCCAAGCACTCATCCAGGGATAGCCCCTTCGAGCGGCGGTGTTGACGAGATTTGCGCTTGGCCTCGAGGATTGGATCTTCCATCAGGCCGACGCTGGACCAGGTCTCCCGGCCACGCATCGTATCTTCTGGGTCGCCTTCAAATAAAGTCGCGAAAGGTTCTTGATGCCAGTCGACAACAATACCCTCCCCTAGCCGAACGAGAGGTCCAGGGTTAGCGTCCTCCTCGACTTCCTCGCTGGACATTCGCGTCCTCTGTTGTGTACGCTTGGGACCCTTTCTTGAGTAAGTCCTGATGCCACGTCTGAAGGCTTTCATTTGACCTACTTTATTGTACACGGCGCGTTGGGCGATTGGGCGAACAGGAAGAACCTAGATCAATTAGCCTCTGTCCCTTCATAGAAGTAGTGGGTGGGTGGGTTAGTCTCCAAACTAAAATGTGACAAACATACCCTCGTATTCGGTGCCAGATCATCATCGTCACTCGACTCCTCATTCATTCGCGTTGGGGCTAATTGTGGAATGTCGCCAATGTCATCTTCACTACTTTCGCCATCAGATCCTCGAAGATTATTGGAAGCAAACCCATTGGACTGCTCATCGTCAACTTCAACCGCGTCCTGGACAGCAGGAATCCGAGTGGAGAGCCGAGGATATAGCTTCTCTTCATTCACCGCACCCCATCCTGTGGGAACAACCTCCTTTTTGCTCGAGAAATAGCTCAGCTCGAAAAGGTTGTTGTATTCGGAAGGGAGGAACTGCTCGGGATCAATCCACTTTGGCCGTCTCGACTGAAATTTTCGTTTTCTCGGATTGGAATCCTTCTGCGATCCGCCATCTGCTTCTGTAGGCGCATGTGCGCTCTTTTGCTCTGTCACAGAGATGTCGACTACGTCATCCTCACCATCGATCGAAGTAGCCACAACTTTACCATCGCCAGACGACGTGTCCGAGGCGGTGGTTATAACAATGTCTTGCTCTAGCTTATCTGTGCTCTGATCATCATCAGATTCATAACCGCTCATGCTATATGTGGTAAGATTGGCAACTCGTTCGAGGATCTTCCGTTTAATGATGTCCTCACTTCGAGCCTCTTCTGGAGTCAATGTTATAAAAAACGGGGGATAAGCATGGATAAGCGGCTTGCCAAATCGGCTTGGGCTAGGATTTTGCCGCCTCGAAATAACCGGGACGATCATTTTTTCTGCCCTAGGCGAATCCCAGCTCGGGATATCTCCCTCCTCATCATCCTGATAGGAGCTGCTTATGTTAAGCATTGACCTGGCCTTTTGTTTGGCTCTCCGGACAGGTGGCCAATTGGTGGGTGGTGCCTCAACCTCAAAAACCATGATGCGGTCGTTGGACTGGATGTCTTCCGATACTGATTTTGTGTCCTCAAGAATCCTGTATATTTGATTGTTGAATTCCTCTGCGATAAAGAGCCGTTCGACGGGAACGTCAACTCTAGTGCTGACAAATTGCTTCAGTCCTTTTATGCTGCCTTGTTTGTCCATGTCCACCGCAACTCTGATTGGCTTATCGTTCAAAGGGAAAAAGAACACCTCATGGCCCCAAGTACTTTCAATGGGCAACTGCATTGTGACAGTGCTGAATGGGTCAAACGTTATGCTTACTTTGGCACAATCCGGACAAACAAGTGTAGATTTGTACATGCCGGTGAATAGGTCTCCAATGACAGAGTCGTCACGCCTCTTCGTGATATCCCAAACTTCTTTGGCCATTTTCTTCAGCGCCGCTGGGTTGTCGACCATTTCGTCTGTGGAATCTGGCTTCTCTATGTATGGCTTCTTCTTGACGCGGTTTAAGTCTTCCTGTAAGGCATCCAGAAGGATGCCAAGGAACTCCTGTGAATCCTGCTGGCCATATCCAGAGAACGAGCCAAAGTATCTCCCGAATGTGTTTTTGAATTGCCGGGGGGTGATTGAGGAGGGCACAGGCTCCTTGTAGAGCTCTCTTAAAAGGGCGTTGTATACAAGTGCGACATTGCCGCCTTTGCCAAGCGGGTTCTCAGTATTGAGCTCCTTTTCGGCTTCATCGGCCAAAAAGTACTTGGTCAACTCCTCGACACTACGTATGCACTGGAGGGCAGAGTTCATGTAGCAAGTGTTCCCGAGATTAGCCAGCCCAACTGTGCCCACTGTCTTGCCAGAAGATTTCTGCACGCGCCCACGCGTCATAGGCACTGAGGGAGCAGGGCTGCTTCGTCCACTGTCCGGTCTTGATACTGCCGAAGCCCGATTCATATTTGTTGGACCGGTCGCAATGCCTTTAGTGCCCTGCTTGGCAATCTTTTGGGCATACGTGGCCAGGTACACATTGCCCTCGACAAGTTCATCCAGGACAAGGGCTTGGTCTTTGCCCAACCCAGTCATGGCAATTGTCGAACGGCCGTTATATTTCGGATCGTTTGTGTAGTCTTTGATGTCCACTAGCTCCCGCTGCGCACCGCGTGTCAAGCCATTAAACGTCGTGGCTTCCACGAGTAGTTTTGTCCAATCTTCTGCGGCTTTGGCCTCTGGAGCTGGCGTGCTGGCTCTTGATAGAGGAGGTGATGCGCCACCGGCAGGTGCAGCCGCGGCTGTCTTTTCATCAGAGAAGATGGGTATAGTCCAAACTCGCACTATCTGTGGAGGTTCGATGTTGGCCGCTTTCTTGATGCTCTTAAGGAAGTCCTGGAACCTGTCGTTGCGGCTCATAATATAAACAGGCGCAGGTGGGTTCTTCGCTTTCAAAAGCTGTGAAATGGGCAACGGGCTGCTGACTGCCCAAAGCCTGTGGATCTTAAACACGACAGGGTGAAGTTCAAATTGCACGTTCGGTACTTGAGGGTCCATGCTTGTGTCGACGGCTTGCCTTACGACAGGCACCTGGCCAGCTTTCAGGCCATACCACTGCACTACCAAATTCCATGCCTCTTCGGGGAAGTAGGCGACTGAGCCGCCCACAACCTCATGCTTTAACCTGGCAAATGGCTGCTTATTCTGATCCGTTAGAATCTCGTGAACAATATCTGCATTGTCGACAGGGCCGATGGGCTCCGCATTTGATAGTTTTGCACCGGATGCATGAGCCTGGACGTTGTCGAGCCAAGTGTTTGATATAATGTATGTTTTTGTGCCAGGGGTGAGGGGTTGGCTTTCGAAAGCCTCGTGTAACTCCTTGACTCGTTTTATCTGTTCATCTATGGGAGGTAGATCTATGATATAGTTA